AATTGGATCAAAACATAGCTTTCTACAAATTCTGTACGTCAAATAAAGTAAATTTGTTGAAATATAGAGCAAGGATAAACGGTAATTTATTTAGAATTAGCCTATTTCTAGTGACAAATACTTAGTCTATCTATGGCGTATCGGTTACATCTACTTCAATATATCGTTTTAATACATTTTCAAACCAAATTAACTTACCTATCAAATCTATAAACGTCTTATTACTCGTTGCTGATCCTAAAAAGTTACTGTATTGGCATTGATAGTTCCCGATGTCATTATTAAATACTTCTGGTATTACAAGACGACTGTACGTATAAAATTTTTCTATTATCGTTATATTTTTATAGTTTTGAAGAGCTATGCCATCTTTTAACCAAGTAACAGTAGATATCGGTGAGCTTGTTCCATTACATTCTAGCATTGTCAAGTTGCCTTCATACACAAGAGTATTTGTTGGATACTGAACAATTCGGGGTGAATCTAGGTATATTAACCGTATAAATTAATTTTTATGAAATGGATCAAGATTTAGCCATAAATTGGATTGGTGGCCACATAGATATTTATCCATTCCATAAAATGATTTTAGGGAAAAACTATCCACAAATTGTTTAAATTTAGAATTACTTTTGTAGATATACGGTAGCAGAACGTTTGCAATTATTATTATAGATGATTGTACGAGATTATATATTGTAGCCTACTTATTCTATTATTTATGATAAGTAATATCTAACTACTGTATAACTAAGATTATAGTTTCGTTATTTATATAAATTAAAATACTATGCATATACGATCTTACTATAAAATTTAAATATACTTAATGACTACGATTATCGTAGACTGTGAATTCAATTGACTTACAAGAAAACATTGTAGACCATTGTATATCGCCAAATGAACCATAACCAATATTTCCAGAACCCCAACCGTACTGAATGGCTCCATATATTATACTACTGTCATTATGAGTTAATCTGCTTGTACCAATCGGAACATTTATAGATGCTGTAGAGTAAACATTACTTACATCATTCGTAGTGACTTGTCGCCAACTGATTCCTTGTAATACTTCTCCATTTAACATTAATCCGTCTTTATATTTATCTTGTATCGTGATTAAGACGTAATTTGGATTGATATTGTAATGTTGTAAATAACGATGGTACGGTTATTACGAGATTGTTACTATATTGTTCGATTGCTGGTACAATTGTCATAAACGGATCAGCTCTCTTAAGATCTGCCTTATTTCCTTTAGCGTATTGTACAACTAGACATGGCTTATCGCACGTAAGAAACGAATCAGTGCCGCTAGCTAACTCGAGTTGTGTAAACTCGCCTCGGGATAACTTGTAATTTGAACTTGCTGACTGAAGACGTACCGTAGTATTATCGTAAGCGGCGACGATACGATATATATCTCCAGCTGCTCTACCAGTAAATGTCGATAATATATAATTTTGACCTAAGTATTTACTTGGCATATAATGTTCTTGTAAAGGTTCGCAAGTAGTTTTACTTATAGGAACGTTAGCGCAACGATTTCCAGCTAGAACTGAGATATCTTTGTTAGAATATATAATTGTTCCAGTTAGATCTTGCCGGATCCCGAAAAAGAATCCTTGATTAGGTAGTAAATTAATCGTCAGATTCCTATTTCTAGAATAAGTTTGACCTCCGTAATTAGTATTGCTTGGGAAGCTAATCTCAACTTGTGTGTTGACATCTTTACTGATTATTAACATTTGTCCTGAACTAATAGAAGTATATGTGGCAATAACATATTCTTTACCATAAAATTGGACTGGTAAAATATGAGATGAGCTTCCTAGTAGGCTAGATGCTTGTAAACTGGTAACAGTTATATCTTCATCTGAAGTGATATGTATTGTCCTTGAAGCTATTCCTGTTACTCTATTTTCGCTTGTTTCTGTAAATTTTATGGTTATCGAGTCGTAAGATGCAACATTGTATTGAGTAGCTGTATTGAAATAGTTATTTCTAACAGTAATGGTGGCAGATTTATCCAGAGCTGTGACGATAGCAGCTGCCGTTGTAGCAGAATTAAAAGAGTTGAAAAGTCCGAAATAGAATTCTCTTCCAATACTTCGTATTATTTTATAATCTAATATCAAAATAAGTAGGCGAGCACTCGTGGTTATAATGCGCTATAAATCAATACAGTATTATTACAATGTACATTCAGTGTATAGCGTATAAAATAAAACGAACTGCAAATCGGCCTAAAAAATACATAGAAAATGTAAAAGTCATGGTACAGTATATAGTGGGTAGGTATAGAAAATGTATACGCACAAAGTAGAGATCATTTATTACAGATAAAGTTTATAATTTTATAAGTACTAGAGTTATAACTTGTTGGAGTTGAAAATAACACCACGTTTGCTAGTAATCTCGCTTATACTACAGTACAAAATACAACATTGATATTTTATACATCTATACGATGGGGATGACAGTACAGTTGTAGCAATCAGTGTACTGTACTGTACGAACTAGTTTTTGGATGGTCTGTGATCCGAGCCAAAGTTCATACTCGATCTCACTGGTAGCAACGCTAACTTTAGTGCGAAAGGCGTATTTTTTTGAAATTATAGTATTATAATATACTACGCTATAAGGACTTCTATCTCTTAGAAGTCCCTGACAGTATATTCTACGACTATCCCATCCCCCGAAGTGTTTGACCACTGGCGTAAATAATTTTGTATTTAACATCTTAATAGTTTGATTTCTATGTACAGTATAGCACTGAAAATATCTAGCCTACTGGCTTCGCTCCTGTACGGTCATGGACAACTAAAAGAAACCTTTTAGTAGTCCATTAAGCTGCTGTACCTACGCTGGATCAGTAAAAAGTTCATTGTGTGAATGTACCTTAACTGTATCGTACACCAGAGACCCTTAAATTAAAGGAGATACTGTACATTACATCAGGCCACTAGCTCAGCTAGTAAACCTACGCTGCGCTATGCCTCTAGCCATAGGTCTTCTCTATCTTACTTTATTTGTAAAACTAAGACTACACGAAAGCAAGATTGGAAATTTAATTTAATATATTTATGGTAAATCTATTTAAGAACTCGTTGGACAGCTTGAGCTAAGTTTGGGAATACTTTGTGTATATAGATGGAATGGGCTACTGTGCAGTATGGTATGCCAAGTATACAGAACAGTACAGTAACGAGCGAGGGATCTAATGTAATAAAAGAAAGATGAGTGGCCCCACTGTACGGCGCATACTGTACTTGACGAGGTACTACTAAAATAAAGAAGAAAGGCAGTATTTTTTGTAGAAAAGTTATACACATAATATGTCGGAATTTCAAGACTTTCAAAAGTTTAATAAGTCGGTGACTTTTATGTTATTAAACCGTACCAATTAGCTGTTTGTAATACATACGCATGTGTGAGCTCGTGTAATGATAAAGTTACCGTTATGTCTGTAATTTGTAATATAAAGTCTGTTACTAAGTGAGTATTCGTAGGAAATGTATCTGTTACATGAAGTGATAATATAATAAATTAGTTAATGTGTACAGTATATACGAGTAAAGTACCTGTTCCAATTAAGTTAAGAAGATCGATCACTAATATTCATACTAAAGTCTATCGTTCTGATTCCTAACAATTTTTTATACTGTTTAAGTAAATACAGCGACTAAAGTTAATTAATATTGTATTGGAAACATTTTGAGCGGGTTATAATTCTGTAATCAGATACACCATTCTGAATACTTAACTTTTAACTTTATATTGCTTAAGTAGCTGCGATAGTCATCGATTAATGCAGCCATTTCATGATGTACATTTTTTGATAAAATTTCATTCGTGGTATGCTACTGTAATATATGAGTTATGTTGTAGTGATTTTAGCTAATTACAGCAGTTTTGAGTAGGCAATACAGTGATAGTATGTAGTGTAGAACTGTATGTCTTAATAAAGTAAGTGTTGATATGGCTAGTATGATGAAACGGCACACATTTAGTATGTGCTATATAAGGCCGTAGCTGATAGCCATATTAAGTAATGTTATTAAGCAATGTACTAATGTGATTGATGACTCCTATGTAGAGGAGCAATTGATGATAATTTGTATAAGCTGTACAGAATTGTTATCGTGGAGGCTAAGTCGATTATCCGGTTTATCTTAGCCACTTTCGACTGTCATTATGAGAGGAAGAAATTGGAATTCTTCTCCGACGGACAAGACGCGGACGTTAATAAATTTAACTGTTATAAGTTAATTATACGGTGTTGACTATTTTGTGTCACATTAGAGATTTGCTCAATTTTAGCAACTCAGAATTTTGAGTTGACGGATTACGAACCTAGGGCTAACAACCCGTACACTACATATGCACTCGTATATAATTCTGATATCAGTCAAACGAATCTTAATTTGTCAACTGTAACAAGGCTATTTCGCGTAAATTGACTAAATTTAATTACAGAGACTAAGATATCGATATATAACAATACCCTATTACAGCTATGCTATACCACATGATGTATTAATGAATTATTATGCTGTATAACGTGCACAGTAAGTATTGATCTTTAACTTCTTGGGAGATCTTAATACGTATTAAGTAATTTAAAGAGATAAACTAGCGTTAAGTAAGGTCCTGTTTGTAACGCTTTGCATGAGTTGTCATCTTCCGATTGGACGACTCGTTCTAACCTGTTTTACTGTTGTGTAGTTTTTAGACGAATATTAAAGCTATGTTAGTGAACTGATAAAGTGTTCACTTATATTCCTAAGAAGTGGTGATAATTTATTGTGAAACCCTAGTTAGTTTAACCTTTCTTGCTACAAATCTCAATCTGTAACATATCCCAAATTACATAGATTACAACACAGAATTGTAATACTACGAATATATCTTGACCGGTGGTAACTACTGACATTTTGAAATAATGCCTATAATTCTGTTGAAGAAATAATTACAACAAGTACTGTGCTTACCGTAAATCGCAACAGTGGCGACTTCGCTAGTGATTGATCCTATTATATTATCGTAACGACATTGATATAATCCTTCATCTTGTGTAGTTATATTTGATATAGTCAGACGACTATAAACGTAAAAGTTCTCAATTAACTTTATATCATCATAACTTGTCAGTGGATTGCCATCTTTCAGCCAAGTTACGTTAGCGATAGGACTACTAGTTCCATTACATTGCAGTGTAAGTGTTTTTCCATAGATAATATTAACACTTTTCGGATGTTGTATTATTCTTGGATGATCTAGGTTCAAAATGATAGATGATATTAATTTCTATTTGATATTATAACTGTTGTAGATAGTAATAAAATTCATTCATGAAGTAATAATTGGTATACATGTATTACATTTATACAAGTTCATTGTATTTCATGATTATGATTTATAATTTGTTACTTAATGTGTAATGTACCTACGTACTTATACGGTAGTAAAACAAGATCTTTTCGATCACAAATATGATATTGCATAATTATTAAACCAGTTATTAGAATAGATTGTATAGTCTATAACATGTAAGTACAACTGCAGAACCAAAGTACAGAAATGATACAAGATATCGCCTTTTCACAGATTGTAGCCAGAAGTAAAGCTATTATTACATTACATTGCAAGTATAGATGTACGTACAGTATAAACTAATTCATCGATGTATTAGAATAACATCTTGTTAAGTTTTGAAAATACTTAAATGATTACTTCAATCATACTTATCTTATTTTTAAAATAATTTAGTATACGAAACATATGTAAATTGCTATAATAACAATATCGAACTTATAATGATTATGATACCGTGATGTTATATAATTTCTAAAATGCCTTAAAGACATTGCAAAATTATTAGCCATATCCCAATCATTTATAATTATCTAACATTCATTAAGTTTAGTTTACTTACAAGAAATTATTGTAGTTACTTGTAAGCCACCAAGGAAAGCGTAACCATTAAGATTACCGCTTAGACCATATTGAATCGATCCATACATTACACTACTATCTTTATGAGTAAATCTAGTTGTACCAGTCGAAACCGGAATAGGTGCTGTAGAATAAGTATTATTAACAATATCTGTAGTGACTTGTCGCCACACAACGCCTTTTATTACTGCTCCATTAAGCATTAATCCATCTTTATACTTATCTTGTATAGTAATTAAGACGTAATTTCGATCGAAATTCAGGTTTGTTACTATAGTTGGTGATACAGATACGACGAGATTGCGACTGTATTGTTCTATTGCTGGTACGATATTCATAAATGGATCATTTCCGGTACTACCGAAGGATTGAATAGCGAATTGTACTACTAAACATGGGTAATCACACGTTAGAAATGCATCAGTATCCGCAGATAGTTCAAATTCTGCGAATCCACCTCGTAATAACTCATAAGTTGCAATTGTAAAGTTTAAGCGTACTTTAGTATTATTGTAAGCGGCGACAACGCGAAATATACTGCCGGCTTTTACGCCTGTTAAAGTCGATAAGATGTAATTCTTGCCTAAAAATTTAATTGGCATATAATGTTGTACTACTGGTTCACAATTTCCTGCCTTTATTCTAGAACACTTGTTGCCAGCTAGAACTGCGATATTATTATTGGAGTAGATAATTGTTCCAGTTAGATCTTGATTAATCTGTAAATAAAATCCTTGATTGCGTTGTAAAGTAATTGTCAGATTCCTATTTTGCGAATAAGTTTGACCGTTATAGACAGTATTATGTGAGAAAGTAATCTCCACTTGTGTATCGTTATCGTTACTGATCATCAATATCTGTCCATAAAATAAAGGACGATACATGGCAACAATATATTCTTTACCATAAAATTGACTTGGCAATATAGAGTATGCAGTTTGTGCAGTTGTGTCTCCATAATAACAAGCAACTGTTATATCTTCATCTGAAGTTATATACACGGTCTTCCAAGTTACTCCTGATGCTGTATTTTCTAAGTTGCTTGCAAGTGTTATAGTCAATGAATTGTATGATGAAATGTTATACAGAGTTGACGTCATATCATGATTATTCGTAATATTAATACCAGTAGATTTGTTAAGAGCTGTTATGACAGCATACGGTATTACAGCGCTTAGAACAGTATCACAGTATCCAAAATGAAATTCTCTTCCGATACTATGTGCCGTTTCGGAATCTAAGAGGAAAGCAATAAAAAAAACCTGTCATGATGTATTGCAAATAACATTCTCGCATCGTTATAGTTTTATCATGCATCAATTATACTAAATCTTTCTATTTTTCTGAAGATTCAATGATTAATTAGGAAATCATACAACACACTTTTCATTCACTACTATATTGACAAATAATTAATCTAGCGCAGCTCATCCTCTTTATTTACATAATAGGTTAGTACATTTACCATGAAACGTTGCTTACTAATTAGCATTTCGGGATAGCTAGAGAAATGATATTATATAGTAATAAAATCGATAGTTAGGTTTGCTAATTAGACTCTGACTAGTAGTAGATTAAGATCTGAAATGGAAATTCTTATCTACAGCTAATGAAAACTACCCTGCCATAAACAGTCAAACAGCATCCGATAGCCATACGTAGATGGTTGATATTCATTTCATACGATACAGTAAAGTATTTTAACTTCTCAAATCTCACCTTAGTGATAAAACATCCTAAATAATTTAATGGAATGTTTAAACATTTCTACAAATATAAAGCTTACACTTTATTTTCAATTAGGGGCAAATATGCTTGTGAGCTAATGTATTTTACTAAGAGATTTATTACTGCTAACGGATTACTAGATATGTACTGATATAGAATTCCATTTTGAATTAAAATAATATCATTTTACTCGTGTGTATATTTACTAGTAGATTATATTACTGCTAATGGAGTACTAGATAAGCAATGATATGCAAATAGTGTAATGTCAATTTTTTCAAGCTGGCACAATTATAGATTAAAGATTATTGTATTCAAAAATAAAATTACCATAGATTATAGTACTGAAAGTATGTACACATGTTCATACTTAGAAATTAGATTTCATTGGGCTGAGTAAAAAGTATTAGCCATAATAAAAATACTTTGACTACATGATTATTGAATATTCAATTATGCTTAGGCCTGTTTGGATACTTCTAGACCGATATATATCTAACCTGTTTGATACGATAAACCAATAGAATAAAGAAGGATAGCTATTATTATTAGCACCTTCATGATGTTGTTATAATTTTAGCAGCAGTTGAATCAATCGATTCTATAAGTGGAAATTTTAAAACAAGCCTAGAAGAGAAAGAATGAATATAAATATTGATATTGCATCGATTAATATCAAGTAATTACTAATAAGTTTTAAGCTAGAATTGACTACGATATGAGTTAATATCATTCTACTGTTTACTCAAATTCACCACTATAAGCATTGCTACTCTTTATGAATACCTTTAGCTAATAGATGTAGCTGACTAGAAAATTGAGATTGTCAAATACAGTTTATTCCCTACCACTGTCTGTCTAATCCTATTATTTCTTAGTGATGTATTGTAAAACAAGCAAGTTTTCCAATCAGTCAAATTGCTACAAGAAGCATAAGAATATGATAACAGTACACTCGCTCTAATCGAATTATATCGTTTTAAATATGATATGATATTGGTTGTGGTCAATTGAAAGAATCTGGAAAAGTTAAAATGATGATGCGGTAAAAGGAATAATTTGTTGATCAAGGATGACCTATCGCAGTAGACTTTTCATTCGATTACAGCAATATTCAACAATCATCAAGATTACTATAAACACTACTTTGATAGCTTAGAAAATGTTTGGTAGCTCTTTGTAAGGAATCAGTAACACTCCTAAATTGACTAACTTGTTGCTTTATAGGGTTTACTGTATGGTGCGTCATAATTTGTAATTTTTGATATAACTTGCATGTATTAACAAAGTAACTAATTGAACGAACGTTGTTAATTTGATTCCTACTTCTATTATCACATTCAATCAGTTAAGGAGAGTAGTCCGTGACAATTAATTACTGTAATAGCTCCGCAGAGGACGGTGTCCACTGATTTCGTAAGTTATATGATATCACCGAATTCACGATAGCTTTAATAGAGCTTTCTAAGTACGTCAAGTTAACAGTTTCATAAAATAAAGACAAATAGACTTACACACTACTGTATTATGAGCACAAGCAATGACTAAAAAAATGCAACGATATTAGCATAAACGTTGTATTGAACTATTTATTAGTAGATCATTTAGTCAATTTACTATAAAATACTTCATTAATGATGTCTTGATATAGTTAAACTTATTTCTATAGGTGTCACTTAAAAATGGAAAAATACTGTTTGGGTTCATTGAATTATGGTAGAAAGCAGCATCATGATCTTACGATATCGTTCGTTATGATAACACCAAAGGTTAATGTATTCTTTCGTGCAATGTTTGCTTTACAGTTTACCATTTACAGTGTTTCATGACAAGAAAATCAAGTAAATTTAAACAGCAAGTAACTAGTTTAGCTTTTTGGCTATAGGATTTAAGTAATCATGTTTGTTTTATATTTTACAGTCAAACTAGTTCAATATGTAGATATTTCAGACATGATTGACCTACCTTTTAGACGGATATAGAGGCAGCTGGACTGCTTCCTTTAACGTGGAACTATTTTAAAAACGCCCTAACTTAGATAGCTTGATCTCGTATGTTAAAATAGTGAGAAAAAAAGTAGAGGGACATTAATTTTAATAAACCAATTTTCACGCCGTAGTCGAGATGACCTTTGATGGCTTATATTGAATACCCTTCTATTTATTCCTCTAGCTGCGATCTCGTTTTCATCAACAACGCCCGGCGTGAATTCCATTATCGACTAGATTAATGAATCTAAGCCAAGATGGAAAACCCTGGTTTTTTCATTCCATTGATTGTATAAAGATATCCGATTGAACAAAAGCTTCGACTAGGCCCTAGTCGTTATTGTTTCTTGTCAATTTGGACGATATAGTCCCGTAGAGATAGAGCAGCACTGTACCACTTGTTTGTTAACGGCTTCATTCTACAGTAAGCGGGGTGCCATTTAAAAAATTCTTACAGCCAATTTGGTCAAGGCTAATTGGATGAATGGAAAATTGAATGTGTTGGAGACGCATTCCACAAAACGCCATTCTATGAGATACTGTATGAGTATGCAATAACTCCATTAATTAATATAGACTATGATTGAGAAAGACTTTCAA